TTATATTGTAATACATAATTCAGACTTAATTACTAATACATAATTCAGAAATAATGATATTATTTTACGTGGTTAAAGATGTTATGCAGACAGATTTTTTCCAGTTTAGCCACAAGAATAGGATTCCGCAGGTACTCCACAATCATGTTCAGTCATATCTTGATGTCGAGCCTGACGGCAATTGTGGTTTCCGTGTCTTTGCGAGTTGCATGTTGGGCGGGCAGAATAATCACATTTTGTGCAGACAGATATGTTATGATGAGGTTATAAATAACCCTGGCCTATATGGGAACATTTACGGGTATGCAACCAGTTTAATGTTGGTGAGCAATTGTCTTACTGTTATTTTTTTAAAAAAACTTTCATACCCGTGTCTTTGTGTAGGTGGGACAGATGGGCTGAGAGCCTAGAGCGTATACGGTGGACAGGCACCGCATTAGGTCACTGGATGTCGACAGATGACTTTTATCCCCTTGCTACATATTTCAATGCGATTGTGTACTACTTGATGCCGCGGTGCTGAAAATCTAAACGGCTCATGTTGGACTGTGCTACCACTGAGCGCACGAGGCGGGGCAACAAGACCTGAGTTCCAGATAGTTATTTGCCACCTCAATCCTTACCAACACTTCATTCGACTCAATCTACAGGGTGATTTCCCGATTTCCCCCATTCACCTCAGTTGGAGGCATGATCGTGATAGTAGTGTTATTGGTTGGGATGAACCTTTTGAGTCCAGACTACAGCTATGGCGAACTTTAGTACCTCGGATAAGACCCACACAGGCATTTGAAGATCTGGGGTGATCTTTTGTGTATATATATATATATATATATATATATATATATATTTGAAAATTGAAGCACAGATGGTGACGTAAATTAAAATTTAAATTGCAAACAAACATAAGTGCATATTGTTCATAAGTACAGAATCATTGCATAATTGTACAGAATCATCATAAGTAGAATGTCATGGGGCCCGACTGCACGGAAGATGACATCATCCAGCGAGTATCCCACTTCTCACCTACACCCACATCGAGCTTCTTCAAATCATCGATGCAACCTCGAGTCAACTTCTCCACTCACGCATCCACTACAAATGTTAAATCAAACCAAATTAATCCCTTAATGATAGTACGTGTATTATTAAACAATGGGTAATTTTGTTAGAGTTGAACTTACGTATGTGGTGCAGTTCTTCCCTGGGATGCGTGATGTAGACTGTACGGACTCCGGCAGTAAAAATGGATGTGAATGGCTCCTGTACCAGTCAAGGTAATCTACAGCTGCCTGTCCTACCTCAGTAGACGATACCGGCACACAATAACTGAGGCTGATGCACTCCGACTCCGAAAATCTAACCCAACAGTTACATGTCTCGGCACTAGGACGCTCAACAAAATACTTGTGCGCATTTCTCCCGCGAAACCGAGTAACCGGTGTGAGCGGCGCACGAGGTATGTCTGCACATAACCGAGTGGCGTAGCACTCTCTCCGCATGTATGGCTCCCGGAAGTCGTGGTACATAATCCACCCACCGAAGATGGTCCTGGGATGTCTTTGCACTGATCGCGACCAAATGGCTCCCATTCGACTCGCAAACGTTAGCAACATTTATTATAGTGTAAAAAAATAAATACCCCTTACGCAATATACGGAAATGAAATATAAAGTGTACCTCTTGCTCAGTCATCGCGTCGAGCTGCGTACGAATCTGCTGGAGACGACTATGAATAGGCCTCGGCCCCTTATAGCTAACAGGGGTCCAGTCTCGGGCTCTGGGCCAACCAACAACACCTCGACGTCCTCGCCTCTTGGAGGCTGGAAGCATGGAAAATACTCATATATCCATGCACGGAGAAGGGTCATACAACCAGCCATCGTGGTACACCCCGCTCGACTAGCAATACCAAGGCGACGGTAGAGGAATGCTAGTGTACCGGATCCCCAGGAGTACTCCCCAATATTGTCAATACCTCCGTGCAGCTCAGTCATAAGCGAAGCACTGATCCTGCCCCCACTCCTGTCAAGGAAGAGTGTCGAGGCTAACAAGATCCACACCCAAGCTTGCACTGAGCAATGGGAGGACCCTACGACAACACTCTCGAATCAATATGTCGCTCACACCTCCGTGGCTCCATGCACGCTTTAACTCACCAACGACATCCCAAGCAATCCTGCGACTGCATCTTCAAAATCTCACCTTCCGCATGTTGGATCAACAAGTCACCATCAAGGGAATCGCCAAAATGTGTGCCACATCATGCATCATAATGGTCATCTCCCAAACGGCAAGTGGAAAGAGTTTGTGTCGGGCTGCCACCTCTCTATGAAGGCAGAAACAAGCGCAAGGGCAATGTCATCATACATGGTATCAATGAGATGATACAAACCGGTATGCTGAATCTGCAACTGTGCGTTCTCCGGCAACCTCGCATACCATCCATGCAATCTAGACAAACTCTTCTTCGCTGGCTTAATGGTAAGGTAATCTCGTGGTTCTCCATTCCACAACTGATAAGCAGTGTGTCCAAGAAAACTAGGAATCACTGACCCATCACATGGCCCGCCAGGTACGTCGTCTGTCACAACCCAATCATCAATTTCTTCGGTAGAAACCTTAGACCGTCTGCTAGTACCTGAAACCCGAATAACAAATAGTGTATAAATACTTTATCGAATGCAATTAAGAAATTGACCAAACAGTAATGAATGCTTAAATTATTACAAATACGTACCTGATGACGATGCATGCTGAAGAATAGTACTTTGACCTCGCCCAAGAGTAGTACTCTGACCTCGCCCAAGAGTACTCTGTAGACCGGGACGAACACTGGAACCACCGGGAGTGTAAGCTCGAATTGGGCCGATAATCCAACAAGGGTCTTCCCCCGGGTAGGGTGAACTAGAGTCTGATCAACAGTACGACCAATGGGGTTCGATCGAGGTATCTCCAATCCGTATATCCCTCCTCTCATACGAGGAAAACGAAGATGTGTCATCCTCCTCAGCCACATCGTCCCCCCCACTCTCATAACTATCCTCTGCTGAATCCTCTCCTTCAAAATCATCATCATCATCGTCTACGTTGGCTGACTCACCAACCTGGGCAAACGTAGGATGTACATTTTCACTTTCTTTAACTTTTTTCTTTTTCGCTCGATGTTCGGCATACAGATTGCGCGTAACTGCATGCCGATGCCCAGATCCCTGAAGAGGCGATATCCCATCCTACAACAGTTTCAAATTTTACACGTAACTTAGATTAATTAGTTTAATACAGCTTTATATTATTCAAATATGTAATTATAATATTATCTACTCTACATCTAAAGTGTTCAATTTATTAATAATATCTACATATTTATTTTTTCTTACAACTACATAAATATTTCTTATTAACCCTAATTATCTACTAACCTCCTGTATTTTTTTAATTATAACTTATTTATTTAATTTTCCTATACTAAATATTTAATTTTTTAGCCTAATTACAATTATACCGACTAATCCAATAAATATATTTTCTATAATTATATTAATTATAATAACTTTCATAATAATCCAATTTAATTTACAAACCGTTAAACTCCCTAAAAATACAATTAAATTCCTAAAACTATAAAAGTATTATAACTATTCTATTTACTGAAGATTAAACCTATACTAAATTAAAACTACAATTGAATTCCAAAATAAATTAAACTAATAAAAATAACTAATTAATTTCACTAATAACAAATAATTAAACTAAATTTCATAAGACAAACATTTACTAATAGTAACAATTAAATAATAATTAAATAATTAAATAATTAAATATAAATATAAATATAAATTAATTAACAAAAAAAAAAAAGCCAGCGTGCAGTTTTTCTCGCCAGCTCAACCGGCTGGCGAGAATATTCTTCGCCACCCCATCTTCCGGTGGCGAAGAAACCGCGCCTCATTGCCGGCCGGCGAGGAGAACCGCGCCGGGCAAACAGAGCTGGCGCACGATCTGCGCCGGCTCTGTAAGGAGTGGCGAAGATTTTGCGCCACTCCTTCTGAGTGGCGCAGATCTGTGCGCCAGCTCTGTTTGCCCTGCGCGGTTCTCCTCGCCGGCCGGGCAAATGGAGTTTTTTTTTTTTTTTCAAAATAAACTTTAAAACAATTCAAATTCAAATTTACGTACCTTTAGTTTGCGTAGCTCATTTCGTAGCCGTTTAATTCGATCCCCCATTAAATTTAAGATTTTTAGGTATTTGGATTGAAAGAATTTGAAATGAAAGATTGATTTAGGAATTGAAAGAATGAAATTGAAACTCTTTATTTATAAATTCATGTAAAGGGCAAAATGGTCATTTGGTATTTATTTAGGGCGTTGAAGGGAGATTTTTAGGGCGTTTAACAGCCTGCCAGTTCATGATTAGCTAGCCACTTTGCTTTTAATTGGATCTTAGTCCAATAGTTTATCCCATGTAAAAAATGCATGGCAATATTATATAATGTATATCAAAAGGTGAGCAACCTAGAGTGCTCTTTTAAGTCACCAAAACTTTGGACAGTTTTCAGTACCAAGCAAAAGCAGAAAGAGGAGAGGGTCATACTCATACATCATGTTATGATGTTATTTTAATCATCATGAAATAGATAGTCTTTCCAACCTCTCCTAATAAGTCAGCCAACTAATTCATTTGTAAGGAGAAAGGTTGGAGATTTTTACAAGAAAGAAGAGGAGTTTCTCACAGTGAGTTCCAACAACAAATCCCTCCTAGGTGATCACAAGTTAACTTCAAACAACAACAACGACTCCATCCCTTCGGGATTTTTTAGCCTTAGGTTGTTGGTCAATCCATTCTTGCAAGAATACTAAATTCTCCAAACTCCTCCAAACTTCTCTTGATATAGTACCCTTTTTTTTGTGTTTCTTGATTTCTTTCATATCAGTTTTAAGAATGAGATTTTTACACTTTGATTCATCCATGGAAGAACATTCAAGAATCCCAATGGGCAATGGGGAAAACAGTCAGAATTCTTGGAAGATCAGTTTACACTTTTCTGCAAAAGTATCAATCTTACACTACAACTGCGGCAATCCTTGCCTTATCTTATGCAGCATTAGTTCTGTTGTCAGAATCTGCAATTCCATCATCTGCTCTGCTTCAGGGGATTCACAACCGGCTGCAATCGCTCTTTGATGCTGCCGGCTTTCCAAGGTCATCGGATTTCTTCGCGATTCTTAACATCAAGCTGTCTCAGACTATTGCAGAATCTTATCTAATTTTCCCTTTCATCTTCACCTTCTTCCTTTTCACCAAGGCATTTTTAATCCATGCTTTTTCTAACCATAAGGCCGTTTCGTGAACCCCTTTCGCCTTTTTCAATTCCCTTTTCGGTCCCCTTTTGTACACTCAACTTTGCAACATGATACTAATGATCTCGGCAAATGCAACCTGCTTCTGCATCCTGTTCTTCGGGTTTAACTGCGCCGATGGATTAGGCCTTGTGAACCCGAAAACACTGCTGGTGTTTTCCGCCACAGGAGCTGTTCTGTACTCCATAGTCCTTGCCAATTCCCTCATCATTTGCAATCTTGCATTAATAGTCTCAGGGATGGAAAATTCCAGCGGATACACTGCGATTCTCAAGGCTTGCGTCCTGATTCGAGGAAGAACAGCAACAACATTATCCTTGGCTCTGCATGTTAACCTTGCACTGGCTGCAATTGAGGCCTTATTTCAATACCGAATTGTAAGAGCACTTCATCTGTCAGAATCTCCCTTTTCTTCCATTGTTTTTGAAGGGATATTCATAGCCAACTTATATGCAATTCTCCTCATCTTAGATACCATTATCGGTTGCATCTTCTACAGAAGCTGCAAATCAACAACTTCTTCGATAGAGTTCGAAGCAGAACAGATATATCAGATCGAGTTTGAAGGTAAAGATGCTAATGTCATTTCTAAATGGAAAACATTGGAAACACTTCCTTAGTTAGTTTATATACATCCCAGATGGAAAAACAGGGGTATTTTTCTGCTGCAAATTCATTCAAGCGTATGAATGGAGGCAATTATGCCCTTTTTTTTTTCTCTCAAGTGTTCATAGATACATATTACAGAGAGGTAAAAGAAAATACCGATTTCATATACCTCACTCTTCACTCAAAGATTGTACATGTTTCTCATACTGCAGAACATTTTTATTTCACAGAAAAGGCACATATTATCATCCTTTCTGGACTTCATATTCACTCTGTTTTGCAAATTCTTAAATATTGGTTTATGTTTCTTCAGTTAGCCAGATAGTTTTCTCTCTTCTTCATTTGGGTTAGGATAACTTTTTGGGTTTTCCCTTTAGTTTCAATCTCTTAAACTTTCTTTAAACCTGCTGGCCTAATGGGAAATGGAAGTTGTAACACCCAAGCAAAGAATGCAACAGCAAATTCATTAGTTTATCTTTCTATTTCTTTTGAGACAAAACGTATATGTGGAAGTCCCAGTATCAATTTGTAATGTAATGTCCAAATGCGACAAAAGATGAAATCAAAGAGAAGAGGCAGCTTTGAAACTGTGTTTATCTATGTCAAGGTTGTTACTTCATTTGGAATTAGAGTTCAGTTTTTCACTAGGAGAAAAATTAAGCTAAATTAGCAACTAGCCCTTTTTATCTTAGCATCTCATTGAGTATGTACTTGAATAATGGTTATGCAGCCATTCATCGAACTCGGATTCCCATCACAGTGAAAAGTCAAAGGCACAACCCCGAAGTATGATTTTAACCTTTTTTTACTCCCTTGAGTACTTACTATAAGACGTTTTGATTTTTCATAGGTTTTACTTAGTACGCATTTTTTTATCTATAAAAAAAAACTTAAAAATATTTCATAACATTCAAGAAAACACAGCAAAAATGAATATATATTTTTAAGAGTTTTTGGTCAATAAAAATGCGTACCAGTTGAAACTTAGGACAAATCAAAATGCATTATATTAAGGATCGGAGGAAGTGTATTTGTTTATTGTTTATATATATATATATATATAAATGTAGTGAGATACTTTCTATGTCCCGAAATTATTATCTACTTTGAATTTGCATTTTACTAAACTTGACATATTAAATTAGACAATAATTTTGTGATGGAAGAAATAAGTATTAAATATGTAAATAGTATTGTTATAGATTTCGAGTCCCTTATACATAATAGTGTTGTGTTGGGGAGAATGTTTCGGAGTTTGTAGTTTATTGATTGGCAATTTGCTCTAATGACAGATGAACTAACATAATCCACATTGTGTCACTTAACCAATATTACCAAAACACGAATCAAGGGGTTCTGAGATGCTAAAGGCAACGTCAAAAGCTCATTCGAATTTCAGTGCTGTTGGCACTTCAACGAACTATCAATTTTTTAATTAGGTTATTGCCTTTTGTTCGTTTTGGTACCAGAAATGCATCTCCTTCGTACAAAGTAGAGTTGACTTCTTAGCTTTTTACGCCATCAGAATTTGGTCAATAAGTCATTGCTTTCGGATGTTTTCTTTAAGTTTCTCATCTGCATTAAGAAATGGCCTGATTGTTATAGAAAATATTGACCAAAAATTGGGGAGAAGACCATTACATTAGAATGTTGACTTTTTGGGGGCTGGAGTGGGAGAAAAATAATAGATTGAATTTTATTTTTTTTTGAAATGTTATAATGGATGGATAATAGTAAATTGTCAAATGGAGCTCTCTTTTTCTGCATTAAAAAAGGAGGACCATTCTGAAAATATCATTCCTTTTCGTCTAAAAAAATAATCTTGTTTGTTGACAAAAAAAAAATGAACTCTTTCGCAAAAAGAATGTGAAAAACAATTAAAGCCTATTGAGATTTTTACAAGCCCAATTTTATTTAACTTAAAAAATTTGCTCACACACAATACACAAAACGAAAATCTGAAATCTAAATATTAAAATTTAAATATTTATTTATTTAATATTCTAGATTTTTAATCTCCCTATTCTATCTATACGCAATCTGACTTATCAAATCTAAATATAAAAATTCAAAACCCAGCCTACTTTTATTGTACCAAAAAAAAATCTGAAATCTATTAAAAGTTTAGAATCAGAGTAATGAAATTTTTGTCTTTTTTATAAGAGTTATAATAAACATGTTTGATATTGTATATTACTACGTAATATTTATATATATTTTTTGCATCAAAAATGATTTCTCCAATTTTTAACCTTCATCAAAATCGATAGTTTACTAAAATAGTAATTTTTTTTCTACACTTCATGAATTGATTTGTTAAATTGTTAACATTTGACAACCTATAACTTGATGGTAGAAGACTTTGAAAACTATTCTCTTACTCTATCAGTCCACAAAAGGAAAAAAAAAAAACCAATGGAAATACTATTTGATTTCAAGTAACACCGCTTCTGCAATTATATCTATAAAACACACCAAACAATTTCCTTCGACGGATTCACTGAATCTAATGATTGTGTGTAATCTATATCTTCAATCACCAAAGTACATAAATCTTTTTTTTTTTTTTTTGAATGAAGCACACCAGATTACATAACTCGATCATCCCTAAGAAAAAACAATAACAACATAAGTCATACTTTTGAAAATTCATTTCTTTCACTTCTTCGTCTGCTCATCCTATGTTTTTTATGTACAACAAAACCTAATCTATGATATCACTGGGAAGTTACCATTAAGAGCGAGTTACCTAGAGATGGCAACACTCTAGAATACCATTGTTACAAGGAAAACGGTGATGATTTTGGTTGTCATATACTTTCCTTTTGGGCATCTTTTAATCAGGGCATTTTTTAAAAATCCAAAATATTATTGTACATTTTGGTGGACTGGAAAGGTTAGATATATGGCTGTTTTCGATCGCAGAATAAGCCATTACGCCCCAGGTCATATTGTCTTTTGGCTAGTGATATCGGATGGTTTTTATTTGAAGACTAGATTTGACAGAAATCCTTTTCACAAAATAAATGAATGGAACGATCAATGATGAATATATAATTGGTTGTATGTCATAATAATGATAATCAAAGTTTAGACTATGAAATATTTTGTTCTTTTTTTTTGTTTTTTGGTTTTTTGCTAATTCTTGTAATCTAATTTCTTAAGTCTCCACCGATGCTACCACTACATTTTTCTGTCTATATCATGTCTCTTACATTGCGTCGATTCCCAAGAATCAAGTTACTACCGCATCAACTGCAATATATAGCTTCTTTGATGGAATTATGCATCGTTGAGTGGAAATTATTAAGGATTCCTCCAGAAAGGACAATGCATGAGATTAGCACTGCAAATTAAATAAACAACAGGTACATTCGTAAGCAACTCCTGGTGAATAGGTTTCCATCAATGTAGTGTTGATATAGATGTGACAGTTAGAGCATCGAAAGCTTTGTAGTATTTGGGAAGACTGAAAATTTTCCTAGTTTATCTTGTTGTGAGGAAGGTTTAGCTGTAGCAACTACCTTATGATCACACACTTTTGGGAAGCTATTGCAGCAGAATCAGTGTTTCAAGCGTCAGTCGTCACCGGAGAACCCTGAAAATTAATAGATGAACCTGGTAAGGTTATAGCGATTCTGCAAAAACAACATACTCATTGAAACGTAGGTCAGGAAATCAAAAGTCTTATAGGATTTTTGCGGGTTAATGTGCCCCCTTTTGTAATAATTCATCTGTCCCAAAATGGTTATCCTATTTTGATTTTGATTTTTTTATATATTTTGAATTAAAAATAAAAATTTAAACTGGATAATCAATTCTAAACGGAAAGAGTATATAAATTAACATTCTCAAATGATTATAAACTCTTTCTCATCCAAAACTTTATAGAGTCTTATTTGCTAAATTAACTGTACACAATCATGCAGAACTAATATCTCGGAGATAGATATACTACTACTTCTAATATGACTGTATAGAACAAGTACATGATACGATATCCTATGTATTAATTGTTAACCACAAATTAAAAAACTCATGTTTTTAAAGCAGCCATGAGCATCAATAGTAAATAACAATTTATATTTATATTTGGAGAAATTTTCTTCTTGATGAAAAGAGACTTACCCGACTCAATTGAAGATTCCTTTAGTAGGTGTATTTACTTTGAATTACCTCATAGTTCCTGAACCAAAAGAAAAAGAAAGATATGTCAAGCTTTTAAGTTCCAAATTAACTTCCGAAATTTTGAACCTCCCTTCCATAATAAGAATTAATTGTTTAAAATAATTTCACTAACACAATCAATCAGTATTAAACAACCCGTGTAAAAAGATTTTAACTTTAAACATTAAAACTACTGCTTTTCATTGACATTCCAACCAGAAAAAGCACATCAAAACAAGAAAGGGAAGGAAAAAAGAAAGAAAAGAAAACAGAAAAAGAAAACAGCTAGAACAAGAATAAGTAGCAGGGAACATATTCGCCTACCCTATTAAGAGTATCAAATTGGCAACGGAAAAAATTGCATTGATTACTCTATGAACTATGATAAACAATAATGATGTGAAAACAGAAAAAGAAAAAAAATCACCTTGAATTAACAACAATATCAGTACTGCCACCTACAATCATATGTTTAGTTACTGTCACCATACAATTGTTATTTATTTATTTATTTATTTGAAAATGGAAACTAATTGAGGAAGACAAGAAAAAAAGAAAGAAGAAGGTTAGTTTAGCAAACGATAATTTCATAGGAAAGAAGCACCGTTCTTCAGTTGAATAAAAAAAATTGTATATATCTATTGCAAAGTTAAAAAATAAAACATCACAGAAATATTTAGTCTGGGGCTTACTCTTTTGTTAGTTGTTTTTTGTCGAAATATATCCGTAAATCTTCATTTCCATTATCCATCTGCATTTCATGAATTTCCTTTACCGAATCAAAGACACGTGGACAATGCCAGACCGCAATCATCTGAAGGGTTGAACGTTGGGCTATACAAGAAGGGATTTCCTTTAAGCGATGGCAGTGGTTCAGTATCAATGTCTCAATAGATGGGAAGTCGTCATCCGAAGCCGTTGTCCATCTCTGCAAACTGGTCATCCTCCATAATTCCAACACTCTGAGTTTGGGGAATGTGCCTTCTTCTTCAATGTCCCAATTTTCCCCCGTGTATTCATTCTTACACAACCGGAGAGCTTCAAGATTTGGTAGCCTTCCAATAGCTAAAACTTCACTCCATGGAAGGCAAGTTGAATACAGAGATAGATCCTTTAGATTCTGGGGAAATCGATATTGAAAAAGGTTCGTCCCACCAGAAGTAGTGATCAAGAGTGATTCGAGTTGATTCAAAGTGATGAAATCCACAGTGCACTCTCCTCCACCCAGATCGAGATCACAGTCTAGTGTCCGGAGATTTGGTAACTTCTTCACTACTCCCACCATCGTTTGGCTGCAGGTGAATGATACAGTCGAGAAAGTCTGCAAATTCTCCAAATTGGCTACGGGAATCTCTGATGGCAATACCCACTCCCCAGCTCCTTCCAGATGCCTTAATTTTTTCATACCCCACAAAGTATCCGGCAACAAAACTCTCCCACCACAATCAACAATCAAAGTCTCCAAATCTGAGAGATTGAGAATTGACGATGGGATGATTATTTCTGAAAAAGATGCGAAAGCCAAGTATTTCAACTGGACAAGTAGTAGAATCACACATGGAAATTTATCAAACTTAAATTCTCGGCTGAAGACCAAAACTCTTATAAGCTTGAACTGGAAAAACTTGTATAGAGATGTTAGAAGACGAGGATAGAGGACTTCGGGTTTTTTAACGAACAACATTGTGCGTAGACGAGGATAGAGGGACCTCGATTCTGAGAATATCTCTGGTCCTCTGAAATCAATAGTTAACCTGTACGGCTGGCTAGCCTCAACACAACCATTAAGCTCGTGACCATGTAGCCGATGCATAAAGTGTTCTTCTTTGCTTCTTGCTATGGCGAAATCGCGTAGCAAGTCATGAAGGACACACCGTTCCATCTGACCTCGGTGATCTCTTTTTGCAACCATCACTAGATTTCTCTGTACCAACTCCATCATGTAACCCTCTGCAATATCCTCTAAGCACTCTCTTCCTGCAGTTTCCTGCACGAATCCTTCTGCAATCCATAGCCCTAAAATCTCGTGAACAGCTATTGATTTGTCCTCTTCAAACGCTCCCAGATAAAGAAAGCATGGTTTCAAATGGTTTGGCAAATGTCGATAACTCAACTCAAGAGTCTCCTTGCACTGATCTGCAGCCATTGCAGTACTTGTTTTTAGCATTTCTTCAACTTCTTCCCACTTACTTGGCTCTGTATTAGCGAGAAATCCTGCAACAATTAAAATCATCAGCGGCAATCCCTTGCAGGATTTTGCTATTGTCTTGGCACGAGCAATTACTTCTTCCGATGGACAGCTTTGGTCAAAGCACATCTTCTTCCGAAATAACTCCCAACTCTCATCATCATTTAGTGCACGAAGACGGTGAGGTTCAGAGTGTGGATTGATTTCCAAACCAATAGTCTCCTGTCGACTGGTTAGGAGAATTCTGCTACCCTTATTATCGTCTGGGAATGACATTGTCAAACTATTCCATACTTGAGTATCCCAAATATCATCCAAGATGATAAGATACCTGTATCCCTTCAACCGTCTACGGAGTCTTTCAGCCAAATCATCTTCCCTCATATTTATATACTCTTCAGTTGAATCTTGGTACAGACCGCTTAAAATCCCAATGAACAAACCTTTTGTGTTGTATTCTTGAGACACGGTGACCCAAGAGCGAACCTGGAAGTGATGAGAGATGTGGGAATGATGATAAACTTTCTTGGCCAAACTAGTTTTACCTAATCCGGCCATGCCCACAATCGAAACCACATCTAACTGTTTTGTCCCTCTAGTGAGTCTATCGATGATGATTCTTGCCTCGTCATCCAAGCCCACCACTCTGTCATTGGAATCTGGGATCTTACCAACTGCTGGTGCCATCTTAAGGTTAGCTTGACTAATCTTTTGAACTGCAATGGTTGGCTCCATACTCCAAGGAATCTCCGAGACCTGAGTCTTAATAAGCTCAATCTCTGTTATGATAACATCAAGCAGCACAATAAGGCTCGTCTGGAGTGGTTTACCAGCAACAACCAAAGAATCAAGTACAAACTCCGTGTCATAAGCTACCGCTGCAACGCGACTCGAGAGATCTTGGATCGTCATCCCATTATCATGGAATACAAAAGATCTTAAAACTGTAAGATCATCGTGGAGGGCTCGGAACTTATCCTTTTCTGAAGAAACTTGAATCACGAATGACTTTATTTTTTCCAAGACAGAGTCAATAAAACCCAACAAGTTTGTCTGGGGATATGCTGATGTTGGTGGAAAGCTCGGTGCGTCTTCTTCTGCAGCCTTGAGAATTTGGAGTTTTGTCTTGAAATTGGAAAAAAGGAGCTCTAATTTTGCAAACAACCTTCCTCTTTGTTCTCCATTTTCTTGATAGAGATGAAAAATTAGGATGCCTGCCTCACAAATCAAAGGTCTAATGAGGTCATCAAGCTTGTCATGGTGCTCTGATAGAGTGGTTCTCAAGAATGAGAGTCCCTCATGCACTTTATGCATTTCGTGGTGAAACATTTCCACAAAAATGGCATCACGGAAGAAAAGGTTCAAAATCAGAAAAATGAGAGAATCCACAAAGTCTCTAAACACCAACGCATGAGTTTCTTTAGTGGGATGGAAGGAGGACCCTGAAAACTTTGAAACATCTTGCAAGACACCAACATAAATCTCACAAACACGCGACTCAACTGGCTCAATTTTTCTCCTAAGTTCACGATGAGAATTTGATGAAAGATAACCACGTCGAACGCAAACATCAAAAAGTAGGACTGCAGATTGAATAAATACACGTTCAAAGTGAGTCAAGAGATCTCCGATGATCTGCCTATCCTCAAGTCCGTGAAGCGTAGCAAAGCGAATGAAGTTCTTCGTGAACGTTACGGTTTCGTTTGTGCAGGCACTGCGAGATTCAGGACTCTGCAAACTGTGAAGAATGAAATCGACGCTGTCCAGCAGTTGCTTCACATCTGTTCGAGAAGAAGATCTTGTTTGCAATGTGAGATCTGTCCCCAACATTCGGCGGACCAATTCCTCAATTCCTGGTTTCAGTGAGCGAATAATTCTCCGAAGAAAATCTTTAAGCACAACATCCCATCCCTCCGAATCAGCATCCCATCTCTCATCAGAATCATCAACCCTCAGCAATTTCTCCTTCAACGTGAGACAAAGAAACAGAATTTCCAGGGAATGTCTGTGAAGAGTCTCCTCCACTGTACACACTGCAGTTTCCCAGCCCACATCTTGTTCATCGCCCCACTTTCTTCCCCACAAATAAAACCATCTCCCCCATTCGAACAACTGCCGCAGACGATTAAGTTTCCTATATGGGAATAAATCAGATAATTTTTGGCTGATGGAGTGGAGCTCATCTAAGGCATCTTGAACAATAGACTCTCTGGAATACATCTCTGTAACTGCCAAAAAGAATTTCCTTTTTTTGTTATGGGAGCTTGTAAAAATACTAGCTGGAGTTATATGTTATTGATTCAACAACAACAACAATAATATAATTGTTTTAGAGAGATTGATATGCATTTCTTCTTTTTTTTTGGTTCCCAATCGTGTAAATATTGCTAAATCTCCATCAAACCTACGAACAGTAATCCTGTAGAACCGCCTGAGCTAAGAAAAACAAAAGATTCGTACCTTTGTTGATAGACTCTTAAGTGATTGTGATTGACCAAATCGCTAATCTTCTCCTTTTCGGCCTTCCAATCTCCAACGGAAACTTGATCGGCCCCAAGATCTAAATAACTTCGCACAAGTCAACGCAGATTCTTGATCCAATTAATTAAGAAATTGTTTTTGAAAAAAAAAAAAAAAACAAGGAATTCTTGGTGGTGGAGAGGGACTTGAGAGAAGAAAAAATATCAAAAGATAACTGGTCGTACTGAAACTTAAGACTTCAGATCAAAACAGAGAGTTGAGAGATGAGGAAATGAAGTTGAGAGCAAGAAGACTAATTAAGCATTATCTTTCATCAAGACAGAACCTTAATTAAAATTACAATACTTTTTTGCCATTAATTAGCTTTGTACTAGTGCTATTATTTATTTATGATGTTTACTTTTTCTTGGAAACAGTACACCTATTACTACTACTATTAGATTATTGACATTAAGCAGACTTGTCCAAAAGTAGTTGCCTGGAAGGAAACGGGGATTAAGCTTTACACGAAATTGATATAATAATGCAACTAATAATAAAGTAATAATACAATAATTACATCTTAAAAAATTCAACAAAGTCTCTTTAAATTGCAAAAGAATCTTTGCGTTGGCAGTGGTGAGATCTGAACTCAAAACTCGAGCCAATTTGCAGTGCTGCTTCTAATTTTTTTTTTCTTTTTTGGAAATGACAGACTCCAAAGAACTCTTTATTTCAATTTTATTTATTTATTTGTTTAGTTATTAGTATTTTATTTTATTTTTCGGTGCAAACATTAACTCAAGACTCAAGGTTGTTGTTTTCGTGTTTGCAAAACTCATCATTGGTCCTAAGAGTGAGAAAAACTTGCCTTGCGAGCATCTATACAACAGCTTACCTGTCATTGTATATGTTTGGAAGAAATGAGTAGGCAAAGTATCCTGACATGGCAATGCTCGTGACAGTTTAATGACTACAGGATGCGCAGTATCTTCATTGGAATAGTGCACATCTTTATCTTCGGATGCGATGCTCTGCTAGTGGAAAGGATCATTGAAATATTGTATGAGGATGAAGTGGTGGACGGTGGCGGTGGTGTCGACGGTGGAGTGTGAGGAAGAGGAAGACGAAAGGGCGAGCCGTCGGTGGTGGTTTGGGCTTTGGAGGAAAAACTCTAAATAAATAAATAAATGAAATATTAGGGGGTCTCATTATTGATGAAATATTAATAAAATATTAATAATTGACGAATTTTCTAATTCACCATTAAAGTTAATGAACTTTTCCGTCAAATATACATAGCTGTTGAATAAACTTAAACTTGAGGACTAAAATCGTTGAGAAAAATTTTATGGTGACCGACCTGAGTTACCCCCAAAACTTTGGGGACCAATACTAAGTTTTGCCCAACTTTTTAAGTACATACAGCTAAATCAATCTTAAAGGGAATTGACAGAAGCAAGTAATAAAAATTGATTCTTTCTTTCGAAAATAGTTCTATACCTTATGATATATTTTAAAGGCAAAACAATCAATAAATATATATATATATATATATATAATTAATTTAGATCATCTTGAATGATCTCGATTATTTTCATTCCTTCAAAAATTTAATTAATTCATTCTTGGGACTTCAAGCAACAAATAAGCCACAATATTGAACATATTCATGCCGCAATAAGCAACAATTTTGGATATCTTTCACTGTGGATTATAATTAAGGAGTTGCTAACTAACGAGTAGAAATTTGTTATATTCAAATTTGGAGTCATTGTATCCGCTCTCCAATCATCTGCTGTGAATCTAGGAAAATGAAAAGTTTGATTTTGTGAAAGTTGTAGCGAAAGAGACAGACAAGCAGAGGTTTGAATTAATTGGACCATTCAATGGTAACATGGAAAAAAATAATATTGTAATATTTTGCTCCAGATCCTAATTTATGTCCTGGCAGAATCACTGGACAAAATTTATATAGATGTTTGGGAAACGTTTAGGATTATGGTATAAAAGATCCTTAGACTATTGGAAGATTCAAATTGTTAAATCAGGATAATATTAAATTGCTTTTCATTTTCTAATAGAACATTATGAATGGAACATTATGCTTTTTGGATTAAAGAATGCACATTCATAATTTTTATTTTTATTTTTATTAGTATTACTACTCAGAGAGGCATCCTTTAGATTGTGACGGATGATCTTCATAACTTTAGGACTAGAATGTATTGATTTCCAATTTTGGTCCGGCAAAAGAAAGGACTAGAACGTTTTTTTTTAAAGTGATTTTTTTTCCCCTTTTTCTGGTCATGACAATATAATCTAGTGAAGGAGCCTTTATTCTCTCCACTATTTGGAGTTGGTTGTATGTGTATATGGTTCATAACTCCACATTCACCAAGCTTGTACAATTTTTGGACTTGTTTCGTGTTTCTTGTAGGTCGTTTCACGCCTAAAAGTTATTTTTACAGCTATGGCGTAGTCCCTAGTCTATAGGGAAATGACCTTGACCCAGCACAAGAAGAAATTGGTTAGCATTGTAGATCTAAGATGAGAAGCAGTGGCGAAGAGAATTAAATAATATTTTAACGGTATTTGATAATTATTATTTCTTTTCAATTATTAAGAACATGTTTTATGCAAATCATGCAGCACAATAAAGTTTTTGCAAGTTTTTCACTCTGATTAAGTAGTTATAATTTTTAAAAATCAATTTTTAATTAACTAATATGTTTTTTTTAATGAAGAGAAGTAGATTTGTAGTGTATTTTTAACCCCGATAAGTCATAATGGGACAATTTATTAATGAAGACTAAACTTCCCCGCAGCCCGAGCCCATATCCTTTCCTCCTTTCAACATCATTCTGCTTCTGCTCTCCCCATTCTCTACCCTCCTCCGCCGCCGGAAACTTTTATTTCATTCAACTCTAAATTTCACGTTCTCATTATTTGAAAAATTAGGCTAAAATCATTATATGTGAGGTAGAGCATCTTAAATAATGCTAACGAATAGAAATCAAAGCACATGGTTGTATATAGATCACCTAATCAAAAAAAACTCCGGCATCAACACCCTCTAGTTCGGCATCATAGCACATGGTTGTATATAGATCACCTAACGTTTTGTTCCAGGAATTAAATATGACTGTGTTTGTGGGATATTTAAAATGCTGAAAGCAAACTGACAAATATTACTGAAAGATTTAAGTAGTAGCTATTTGTTACTTTCCTCATTGTTAATCGATTTTGGGATGCAAGTACAATTAGATTTATACGGACACCCAAGAGAATTTACACTAATGCTTAATATTAATCTCTGTAGCTTTATATGCATAATATTCTGTAACTTCAAATTCAATTGATCAGTTAATTTATCGATAAAGTTACTTGATGTTTTACTTATATATATATATGTATATGTTTATTTATTTATTTATGTATCAAATGAAAACTATTATCAAATAAGGAGTTAGTTTTTCTTCATAGGTATAATTTTTGAAGCTTCAATATTCATTCCTATACATAAGTAGTAAACTCACGAATGGTCGTATTTTGACAGCTGATCAAGAGTTGAGTAATATACAATAAAAAAGAAAATGAGCACCAAGAAAATTAAACATATATGTAAGAAAGATGCGTGGACTGCCATGAGTTAATTTATTGAAGCTTGTGTTCTTAGGAACGAGCACTTCAATCACTATTGCATTAAAAAAGGAAAAAAAAAATTGTCTTGAATTATATCCATCCATTCACCGGGACCATTGAATAACGTTCAAGAATCTACCGTCTAGTTTTCTTTATAAGTTTTTTTTTAAAAAAGTTCATTTGTTGGATGTAGAAGTAAGACCAATTAAGTTTTGGAACAGAAATATGCTTTCATAGGAATGTTACAAAGTATGATGATATTTTCTATTTCGTCATTATTTGGAGTAGAAACAAAGTGTATTCTTAAATTCTCATTTTGAATCTTTAGTCCACAAAAAATATCAATCCTTTGGTAAAATTTATTAGTTTGAAATATTGTTCTAAATAGTTACCAGTAAATCAAAACAATGTTTACGAAAATGCGTATTCCAAGAAATTCAATCATATGATCTTAAAAAGATTAATGTTTTTCCTCCACGCAAGGTTCTTTATTTCTCAATCCAACACATCTAATATCACCTATTACTTTTAGAGAAGGCACCTCAGGCATCTGGCATCTCCCAAATTCTCTGTAATTATATAACCTATGAATTAGTATGTTGTGCTTGCTCGTGCTAGACCCGGGTTCAATTCCTATTAAAGGATTTGTAAGAGTGGTTTTACCCACATTTAAGTGAGGTGCACTAAGGTGGATTTTTTTTTAAAAAAAAAAACGTATGTATTAGTATTGCTTAAGTTTTGTTGTTTTGTTTTGTTTTTTTTTTAAGTAGTGAAAACTACTTTATTTTCCAAACATATGAAAATTGACTTTGATTCAATACATCATGAGAATACTGTGTCGTGGTTCGGAACGAACTTGCGAATTTAGCGAGATCATTCGCTACTGTGTTCGTTTCTCTATACACATGCCGAATGGTGACTTGCATATTTTGTGCCAAAAGCCATATTTTTTTGAGAGAATGCTTTGATCGCCATGGCCAACTTGTTGGATTCGCTAGAATGTTGACTAGAGTTTTCGAACCCGTTTATGCTTCAATTTGAGTAAATCTAAGGCTTTGGCAAAGTTGCATACCTCTCAGGAGAGCTTCAACTTCAGCTTGAAAATTAGAGGCAGTGCCAATAAATTTTGCTTCAGTTAGAATAACTTTTCCTTGCATATCTTACTCCACAGCCTGCATCACCTGGATTGCCAATTGAGGACCCATCAACGTTGATCTTTATTCCATTAGTTGGAAGGGTCCAAGTCAAAAATAATGGGGTACTCTTTCTTGCTTCTTTTGCAAAAGGAATGAGTCCTGCAGTTACAAAGCTTGAATCCTTGGCTGAGGATGCTTTAAAAGGCACCGCTTTTTGCCGTAATGTTTAGATCTTGGACAATAAGCCTCACTGCAATGTGTGGAGAGATTATTGTTGACTCAAAATAGCTTTATTCCTACATTTCCACAGGTGCCAACAAATGAGAGAGGGGAGGAGAATCTGTAGCTTCCAAGTCAGCTTTGAAGATTGTCTTCTTGTCCACCATGTAGATGAAAGATCATCAAAATCCAAAATTTCATTGTTTGCAAAGACCATAATCGCTCCAAAATGTCTCCAATGTTTAGCATAAGAACATTCAAAGAAATTATGCCGAATGCTTTCAACATGATTCCTGCATAAAGAACACACAGAGGGAATATTCAGTCCTGTTTTCATTAAAACATCAGCAAAAGGAAGTAACTTGTTGTGCAATCGCCACATGAAGATCGAAATCTTCAGCTGAAGCCTTTTGTCCCATATATAAGTGCATTGTTGGGATGATTCTTGTCTTTTCCGCAGGTGATTGAATGCTGATTTGAGAGAGAATTTTCCAAGAGTATCATTCTGCCAAATCCAGTCATCAGCTTCATTTGATAGTGTAACATCTTTACTCTCTATTTCATTGATGTCATCCTGGAGTAGAATTCCTTGTAGTGAGTCCAGATTCCAAGCTTCATTATCAATCAAGTCTCTAACCAGCACATTAGAATTTTTCCCAAGTTCTTCATTAAAATCTCCACAAACCAGCCAAGGTTTGTCATCGAGTTGCTCAGAGATGGTCCTCATGTCATTCCACAAGTTTCGTCATTCAATCTTGTTACATTTAGCATATACCAGGGAAATAACCGACTCAAAGGAACCTAAATATGTTAGTCTTAAACTTAAAATTTGAGCAGATTGTGAAATCAAACTTATATTGAAATCATTAGACCAAAAAAACCAGATTTTACCATTTTTCTGAACATAGTGCATTAGACAGACCAAACCATAGTCTACAGTAGTTTTGAATTTTTAACTAGGGGCTCAATCAAAACTATAAATTAATAGAATGAGACTTTATTAAATTTTTAACTCTCCGAGCTGTCTTACCGGCAACCCCTCGGATTTTCCAAATTAAAGACTTAATCATTTAGATAAATTAAAAGATGAGGTTGCGGACCTTGTACTTACAGTACGCTCTACCTTTCTTGTTGGACCGCTTTCCTCTTCATTTCATTTTTCCTTTTCGGAGATGGAGGGTTAGAGCTATGTTTCTCTTGTTGCAGAAATTCTTTTTCAGTGGTTGGCAAAATAATTCCCCATTGAAGATTCTGCATTGATGATGATCTCCTCACTTCAGCCCCCTTGCGTTCCACCTTTTTGTCCAGTTCGGAATTATTGTCTTCAGTATCAGTATCTACAAGGGAGTTTGACATTTCCACCATAAGGCCTGTTTGACTCATCTCGGCTGGAGCTTTTGGATGAAAGCGTGGATGTATTCTGTTCTTGCCCAGCTAGCTCTGCTTCCGTATTTTCAGTTTTACCTTGTCGGAGATTCGATCTATGTTGAATTCCATGTGTATCCATATCCTTATTATCATTCAAATATGAGTTTTCCAGTTCAATTTGAGGCTGCATTCCAGCTTTGTCAATGTCTTCTTGTGCTTCTGAAGGCTCTATTACTTCATTGATGTGGATCGGACGGGTGGTCTGGCTTGAAATCAGATCAACAACATTTTGGGGTGCCCCCTCTTTTGCTATTTCCACTTTACTTGTGAGGACATTAGAGGCCGAGTTTCGGCCTAAATTATCAGCAATTTGAACTATTTCTTCTTGGGAGGAGTGATGATTTGATGGAGGAGCCTCCATTGGAATGCCAATTGGAATTTTGTCCTTCTCACTTTTGGACAAACCTGATGTTGAAGGAAGCAACGATTCTGAATTTTCTCTATGGCTTTCTGACGTTAATTCCTAAGGCTTCCAAAGCTGTTTTGGTGGAGTATTTATTGGAATATTCTTCACTGATTCATCCCTTAATCCTTTAGCTGGAAGTTTGTTTGGCAATTCATTCTTAGGACGAGAGGGGCTGCAATTTGAGATGTTATGTCCAATTCGTTTGCATCCCCTACAATATCGGGGGAGATTTTCATATTCCACTCGCTGAAATTCATCTTCAGATAATCAAATCCGTGAGGGGAGATCTTGCATCAAATTGACTTCAACACAAACCCTAGCTACTGAGAGCCTAGTTATTTGAGCAGTTGCAGCATCAATTTTAAGTGGCTTACCTATTTTGTTTGCCAAAGAAAGTAGAGGACCACGGTGATACATATAAAGAGGGAGATCATGAAAGTAAATCCATACCGGTGCCAAAGGTGGTTCGCGATCTGGGCGGAAACCAGAGGTCCATCCAAAGACTTTCATTGTGAATTGCCCAAAATTCCAGTAGTTGTGTAGCCAACAGCGGTGGAAATCCTCATGGAGGTCAAATTGGATTAGTATATGCATTGAATCCATCAATCCTAAGGTGTAATTCCCTTTGAATCCAATTGTTCGAAATTCTTTTCTAAGGAAATTCATCGATGGCCATTTGCCGAGAAGCTGCCGACCAATGCCAATTCATAGGTTGAAGATAGCCGACCAATGCCAATTCATAGGTTGAAGATAATTTAGGGTGTGTTCGGCTACATGTTTTTGGGATTCAATTGGTATTAGAATATTTTGGGGTTCAATTGGCATTCAAGATATTTTAATTCAATGCCAATTTATCCGTTTGACAAAATCATGACATTGGCCACAAATTCAATTAGGATTCCAAATTCTCTGTTCGGATAGTCAAGTAATTGAGTTGGTTTTGGCTTTTGCTTATTTTTTACAAAAATAAAGAAAAAAAAAAGTTATTTTGAAATTATTTCAACTTTTAATTTTTGTTTTAAATAGTATCATTTCTAGAATAATATATTTTGTTATCATCTTTAAGGTGACAAAGAGTAATCTCTTTATTTTTATTTTTAAATTTATCAATTATTTATATATTCATTATAATGATCAATCTAGGTAGTTCCAACACTGTTACATTAACATAATTAAAAAATTATAAAAATCGGTTACGTATATAGTAATTAATTTAGTTCAAGTGATTGTTTTGAAACCAAAGAAACTAAACTGATTATAAAATGAAGGGACGGTATTCACCCAATTTTATATATAATGTAACAACCACCTAACATTTTATATATTCTTATCAAACATAAAATCTGGTGACAATTTTACAGGATTAATTGTTCATCGTGGTGCATTATAACTTCGCACAACAAGATTAATTTCAGAATACACAGCAAAGACAAACCTCAGCAATCGAGGCTGCAACTGCAGCTGCTGCTTGAGTAGCATGTGATAACTCACAAAGATAGCGACCAAATTGACGAACTCCAACTGAAATTACAGGAACAACATCCAAAGCCAGCACTGCACAAGATCCAGCAGAATATATAAGTTAGAAGGCCTCACAACATAGATTGTGTGCTGCAGCCTAGAGAGAAAACCAAATCACTAACATGTTAGCTTCCAGGAAGATGAGAACATGAATCCAATGCCAATCATTGTTGTAGTTACATTACGTAGTGCCTCAGAAAGATAGGTGGTGGCAGCACTTTTTATTATTTGGGTGTCCTCAGATAGCCTACTCAAGAGTTCTCGTGTGCGTGTAACATCGAAGAAAACTATTTCCTACAAGATTTTTTCACATCAATAATGAGTCAACAGCCTTATGAAGAATCATTATTTAAGGTAGATCTTTGAAGTGTTCCCACATTGTTATATGGTAAATTGGTAATTCCCCAACCTTACACCTCTATCAAGGGAGTTACGAGAAAGTATATTGGCATACATCATCAGATTACTCTAACATTTGCCTTCCAGAGTACTAGGTAAAAGTGGATACAAAGATGTAATGTTACGATGCCAATAAAAGGAAGTCTTACTTGCTGGATAAGGTGACTGAATAAATTCTTCCTCACCCGAGCAACTACCCTTTCACTGGCGGATGCAAATAGCCAAGATCTAAATGCTGTGGACACAGAACTAAGAAAACCACCGTATTAAACATCTTCACGAGTGCTTGAAGTTAGAATTAGCAGTTAAAAGAAAGTGTACATACCCAATGACAACTACAGAGACAATGAGAAGTACTGTGTTCTTGATGGCATTCCATGCTTCAGCTTGCTGTTCAGGAGTCCTTATGTCTCTTGATACAATGTCAATTATCATACCACCATATTTGGGCTGCAACACCACATTCAAAAAAGTAGGTAAGGTTTGTTATCTGAAGATTGCATGTGTCGAGGGATAAGCTACAAGTACTAAATCCTTATAAAAGCCATACTATGCATGAGTATAGAAAGCCATACTATGAGAAAGCAATACTATGCCGAGGCATAAGCTACAAGTACAGGATTATGCATGATGATAGAAAGACATACTATGAGAAGGTTTGTTGTGAATGCTATTAACAATGCTATATTCCCAATAATTATCTTCCCAGCATCAGGTTTTGCCTAAAACAGAAGTACATCAGAAATATGTTAGTACAGGCAAAATTAGAAATTTACTCAGTCAATAAATAAACTTTAAACTCACCAGAAGAAACACTCTACCAAATCCAACATTGGCAGCCTGGATTGAGCAATAGAAAGCAAAAATCTCAGTTTAAAGCTATAATTAAGGCGTACAAGAATCAGAAAACAGAACTAGGAGCTACCTCCCCAGCACCATGTTCCAGATCAGTTGCAGGATCAGATTCCTCGTTGCCCTTCTGTTTAGCCTACATACAGAAATACAAAGACCATTTCCTTTGTTAGACAACAAAACAGATGCTGCTGTCTGTTCTTCCAATTTTTTATCTACTTCTATAACATATTTTCATATCCTTCAACTATCCAGAGCAAACAATGATTAAAATTTCTCATGGTCAAAGGTGGACAACCGTACGTTCTCCTAGTATTAAACATGATAAGGAGCATTCTACTCAATCAGAAAATGCAAGAGTTAACATGCATAGTTTAGTCAAATTTCAAACTTGATCACCCTAACCATTAAACAAGGAAGACTAATAATCATTCCCATGCTCCTGATACCTCAGTGAAAAGTGGGAAATTGAGCTATGCCCACTATTTTGCGGTGCATGCACTGACACATATTTCAATTGATATATGCCGAGCTCCAAGTTAGGCCTAATTGCAATCCTATGACAAACGCAAAGCTAAAAACAAAATGGGCAAGAAGCTCAAAATAAGAGATTCCAAGAGAACCAGAGGCCATTAAAAAATGGCTAAATGATCTGTACTCAAGCCGATGTAACGATGAGGTAGGGTGTCAGACAATCCCAGAAGGCCAGAAAGATGCATAGCAAGATAGAAAAACCGAAGGGAACTTTACCCCAGTACACAAAGCATGCTCAAAGACTTCCGGTAGAAAATCTCCAAAATAAACAGAACTTCCCGATCGAGTGAAATGCACACCGAATGATGATGATGAATTGATAATAACTGAAAATGGGATACAAAATATAAACACACAGTATGGAAAAGATGATGACTACCCAGTAAACTTTTGCCAAAAAACGCAAAAAAAAAAAAAGAAGTTATACATAAATGCAAATCTATATACATAAATGTCTCTCTCTGTACTAATTCTGTCCATTTCAATCCATAGAAATTGGCCAAATGATTTCCTCCATCTGTAAGAACCTCATAGATTGTGGCTATTCCTATTTATGGCTATTCCAAACTAGTCTAACGAGCTTTGCCCCTACCCCGCCGACTGCAAAACAGAACAAGCAAAAGGCTGACACCTCGTTATGGAGCTGTTTAAACTATAAGGCACAAATTAGCACTGAGTTTCAAATTTGTGAATTATAACATAGAGGGAATATAACATAACCATTAAAAAACTGTCATCAGAAATCATGAACCTAGCAGAAACGAAAGGCGACCAACCACCGAAGAAAGTAAACTCATCTGAAAGACGGAAGGGGAAGAACAACTAAGATAAACCCAAAAAAAAAAATTAAATAAATAAATAATTTTTTTAAAAAAATCAAACTTTACAAACCAATTAAACAGAATATGCTCAATCTGATTGAGAGCAAAATAAGCCCTCATGCCCTCAATATGAATGAGGTCGAAGCCGGAGGCCAAATGAATTGAATCGAAAATTTTTTGCTTAGATTTATATCAAAACCTAATCAATCCCTCAAACCATTGGAACCCAAAATCCAAAACAAAGAAAAGAAAAAGAAGGAGAAGAGGATCAGATACAAGGTGGTCAATGCTGAATGGTGAAGAAAGAAACCGTCGGAAGCCGGAGAAAAAGGTCGAATTGCTTCAGAATAGGGTATTCTGGCAGTCCAATTCCTTGCTGCAAGTGCAGCATTTGTGGCATTTCACGGAAGGCCGAGGATGATTTCCCAAATATTTTTATCAGGGATTATTGGGTAAAGAATCTAGGTTCCAGTGAGGTTGACGTTGCCGGTGTTGCGCTGCGGTGGAGATGGAAAAATCGTCCGCTCAGAGACTCGTCGATGAGAGGAGAAGAAAAAAAAGGGATTAGGCCGTAAAATGGTTAAAAGGTGGCGAGATCCGGATAACTTATGACCCGGTATTAACCCGGTTATGACCCGCGAACGGTTCAACTCTATAAAGTTTTGGAATTCGAAATAATTGCTTGAAGCCCGGAATTGAAATCATGCCATTGGAAGATAGATCAGGCCCAAATTCTAATTACAAACCACCAATGCCAAGCAAACGAATAGAGCCTCAGCGATTTCCTCTGGGTTGTAGAATAGCGCCGGTTCCCCTTTGAAGATAGATCCGGTTCGAACTTCATTGAAAATAATACTATTAGCAGTATGTTCTTCATTGAGGAAAGCGCAGGCCTACCCTCCGCCGCCGTGGTGGCGGCCATGGGAGGCTAGCTGTCACGAACAGTTTTTCTTCCCCACGAATTCGGGTGCTTTGTTGCGAAACAGGCTATTTTCGTAGACGGACATGGGACGGAACGGTCTAGAGCCTTGTGGAATTCTCCGGTCAAATCTTGAAGACTCTGGAATTCTCTAGAGAGGCCCGGAACTCTCTAGAAACGGGTAGAATCGTGTGGAAGCTACCCGAGTTTGCTAGAACCATGTGGAGGATTCTAGAGACTTGTAGATATTTTGGACTTAGAATATTTTATGATAGGAATTCTCTAGAATTCTATTATTTTATTGTGTACATAGAATTCTCTAGAATTCTTTGGGACTTGGGGTTTGCCTATAAATACCCCATGCCCCCTTCATTTGTAATCCATCCAAGCTTTGAGTAGAGTTCTCAAGGATTCCTAATTTCTCTCTTGTGCCTTCATCGTTCTTTCACTTTCAACCTTTCTTAAGTTTTTCTTTGCCTCCGTTCTTTAAAGTCTTGCCTAGCTTTGCACGCTTTGGGAGTCTTAAGGCTGAGCTAGCACTTGATCGTTAGTTGTTTTGTGCTAGTGCCGCACGGCCGTTACTTTGAAAAAGTAAGCCCGTGACAGTTGGTATCAGAGCCTCGGCTCGATATTGGTGTGCTACATTGTCTACGCTTCCGTTTGTTGGTTTTCTTTTGTGCATAAGCTATATCCAATCCTTCGGAGGTCGTTCAAGGGTCGGAGCTTGAGGGGGATCACGTTTCCCGCGAGGTGGGGAGGACCACCCGCAAAGGAAGCCGCAAGGAGAAGTCGGTCGTTAGGGAGCCGATGGTGGAATTCAAGAAACGGCTTGCCAAGCTAGAGCTTGCTGTGGCCGACCACCAAGACCGTTGGGACGAGCACCCTGAGGTGGTAGCAGGGGTCGTCGAAGCTCGCATGGAGCAATTCGCAAGGGAATTGCAAGAGGTCATGGAGTAAATGAAGGACAACATGCTAGGAACGCTCAACAAAATGGTGGAACGTTGCAACAAGTCGAAGGAGGAAAGCCTTGCTCGTGTTGCCGCCCTCCAAGACGACGTCAACCGGCTTATGGGGGAGCTGGAGACTTTTCGGGCAGAATCGGCGCGTCTTAAGGCACGGCTTGATGCCGTGGCCATGCAAGGGACAACCGGAGCCGTGAGGACGGTTCCAAGGCTTGAAGCGCCCAAGCCGGACGAATACAAGGGCAGCCGTCGCTTGAGGGACATAGAGAACTTTCTCTACAGCATGGAACGGTACTTTGGGGCTATAAATATCATGGACGGTAAGACTCTTCCAAGCCTCTCTTTATCTTAAAGATAGTGCTTTATCATGGTGGAAACGTATGATGAAACCCGTGGGGGACGGAGACCCGGTCTTCATCACGTGGGATGGTTTTAAAGAAGAGTTTAGAAAATATTTCCCACCCGTGGATGCGGAAGATGAAGCCCGGGCCAAGCTTCGGCGTCTGCACCATAGGGAAGGCCAAATCCGGGAATACATTAAGGAATTTTCAGACTTGATGCTTGAAATTCCGGATCTCTCGCCCAAGGAGGCGTTCTTTACTTTCATGGACGGTCTCAACCGTTGGGCCAAACTTGAGCTACAACGGAGAGAAGTTCAGGACATCGATCAGGCGTTAAAGGTGGCCGAGTCGCTTGTTGAGTTCCAAAAGAAGGATAGCTCCAAGGATAAGGGCAAGAAGCCGTTCCAAGGCAAAGGTGGGGGAGACAAAGGGAAGTCTTCCACACCCGCGAAACCGGCAGCCGACTCCACAAAGCTGTCTTCAAGCAAGGAGACCAAGGGGGACAAGCCAAAGAAGTTTCAAGGGTGCTTCTGGTGCGGGGGAGCGCACATGGCACGCGATTGCCCGTCTCATTCGAAGTTGGCAGCATTGGCGCAAGGTTTGTGCCAAGAAGAGGATAAACGGGTCGCTTGAATGAAATGGCTAGACGCCGTGCATGCCAAGGCCGAGACACGTCAAGGCCGTCTTTACATGGAGGCATCGTTCGCAAACGGGTCTAGATGGGGCATGCTAGACACGGGGGCCGACACGAGTTATCTCACGGAAGAGGTAGCCCGTTCGCTTTGAGTCAATTGGACATCTAGCAAAGGCCGTTTCAAGGGCGTGAACGGCGAATGGATGGGTCTTGTAGGCGAAGCCAGGGACGTGCCTCTTAAAATCGGCAACTGGTTAGGTACGGCTAATTTCTCCTTTGCCCCTATGGACGATTACGGTCTTGTGTTTGGCATGGAGTTTTTAGACCAGGTTAAGCCAATCATCGTGCCTAGCAATGACACGATGGTAATCCTCCAAGGCGAGAAGCCTTGTGTGGTAAAGTTTAGACGGGAGAATGAGATTAGCCCTTCCCAGCTGAACAAGGGGCTAAAACGGGGTGAACACACCTTTGCCGCCATGGTGTTTGAGGAGGAACCATGCACAGAGGAGCCGGCAAAGGAGGAACGAATCCCGCCTCCCATAGAGCGAGTCCTTGTTGAGTTCAAGGACGTGATGTCCGACGATTTGCCCAAAGGTCTTCCACCAAGGAGGGAGGTTGATCATGCCATCGAGTTGGTGGACGGAGCGAAACCGATAGCCAAGGTACCTTATCGTATGTCCCCTAGCGAGCTAGAGGAGCTCAAGGTGCAAATCAAGGAGCTACTTGAATCGGGTCATGCAAGGCCGTCTAAAAGTCCGTGGGGTTCGCCAGCCTTGTTCCAACGCAAGAAAGATGGGACGCTACGTTTGTACATCGATTATCGGGCGTTAAACAAGCTAACCGTAAAGAACAAGTACCCTATCCAACTTATAGCGGACTTGTTCGACCGGCTACAACGGGCACGGATCTTTTCCAAGCTGGACTTACGGAAGGGGTATTACCAAGTACGCATAGCACCCGGTGACGAATTGAAAATGGCCATGGTGACGAGGTATGGCTCTTATGAGTTTCTTGTTATGCCGTTCGGTTTAACTAACGCCCCAGCCACGTTTTGCACCTTGATGCAACTCGTGCTAGCCGATTTCATTGACAAGTTTGTAGTAGTATACTTGGACGACATCGTCATCTATAGTAACACAATAAAGGAGCACGTGGAGCATCTTAGAGCCGTTTTCCAAGTCCTTAGGGAAAACCAGCTCTATGTTAAAAGGGAGAAGTGTTCCTTCGGCCTTGAGGAGGTGTCGTTCTTGGGACATATCATCGGTGGGGGAAAAATCCGCATGGATCCGGCCAAAATCAAGGCTATCGTAGAATGGGAGGCACCCAGGCCAACGGAGCTGAGATCATTCTTGGGGCTTGTTAATTACTATCGGCGGTTTATTGAAGGGCACTCCGCCATAGCCGCTCCACTAACGGATCTCTTGAAAAAGGGGCAAGCTTGGTGTTGGACACCAAAACACCAAACAGCGTTCGTGGCTTTAAAGGACGCCGTCACTCGAGAGCCAGTCCTAGCTCTCCCTGATTTTGAGAAACCGTTCGAGGTGTGCACGGATGCTTCGAACTTCGCCATTGGGGGCGTTCTCATGCAAGATTGTCACCCGATCACCTTTGAAAGTCGCAAGCTGAACGAGACCGAGAAAAGGTGGCCGACGCACGAGAAGGAGATGTTGGCTATAGTTTACTGCCTTAGAGTTTGGGAGCATTACTTGAAGGCCGCCACACCGTTCAAGATCAAGACGGACAATCGGGCAGTGAGCTACCATCAAAGCCAACCTAAGCTTTCAAGCAAGCAAGCACGTTGGTTGGACTTCTTGGCCGAGTTTAAATACGAGCTTGAGTATAGCCCAGGGAAGACTAACCACGTGGCCGACGCCTTAAGCCAAAAGGCGTGTCTTGCGCCAATCGTTAGCATACCCGAAGGGACGTTGGTTGATCGCATCAAGAAGGGTCTTGAACACGACCGTCAAGCCCAAAGGTTCATGAGCTCGTGAAGGAAGGCAAGACAACACGGTTCTGGCTTGAGGATGGGATACTTTATGCCAAGGGGAACCGTTTGTACGTGCCCGCATGGGATGGACTTAGAAGGGAGATTCTAAGGGATTGCCATGATAGCCGTTATGCGGGTCACCCAGGTACGCATCCCATGCTTGCCTTAGTCCATGAACGGTTCTATTGGCCTCGCATGCGGGAGGACGTGGAGACATATGTAAGGACTTGTCTAGTCTGCCAACAAGACAAGACCGAGCAAGACCACCCGCATGGCTTGTTATCACCCTTGCCTATCCCGGAACGCCCGTGGGATAGTGTTTTGATGGATTTCATCGTGAGCCTGCCCGTTTCCGAGGGTTGCACCAACATACTTGTTGTGGTAGACCGTTTGTCTAAGTATGGGGTCTTCATACCCGCCCCAAAAGAGGGCACCGTAGAGATAACGGCCAAACTCTTTCTTAGGCATGTGGTGAAATATTGGGGGCTGCCTACATCGATCATAAGCGACAGGGACTCAATGTTCACCGGCCGTTTTTGGCAAGAACTCTTTCGTTT